TTGTCTGCAGTTCCTCTATGTATTTCTCCACTTAGCTGAGCCCCATAATCGTTCTATGTGTTAAGTATGGACCCCAGTTGATGGATCAACAAAATTATAGCTGTGATTCACTTGGAAATGATTATACTTTACTTCATTGAGTTGTTTGGTGTTGTATCCTTTCCAACAGTCAGAATAAATGGTGCTTCCTTCTTGTACATTGTTTTTAATAGCTTCTAATAAAGTTTTTGCTTTTCTGTCGTTTATTTTGACGATTAAGCACTCGTCTGTTTCTCGGCAAACTCCGCCTACATGATTTTTTGTTTTAGAAAAAAGACTCTTCTACTTCAACAACTTTGCCAGGCCCTCCAATTTATTTACTTGACTTTTTTTTTGTCCTTCCCTTTCTCGCCTATAAGGCTATACGGGGTTCTCCCGGGCCAGAGAGTGTGGGCGGGGATTTAAAAGACTCCCCCGGCACCGGTATACGAACTCAGAACTATTCATCGTTGTCTCATATGTCAGGTTGCCGGGCAATGGCGGTGCTGTGCACACTCGTTAGCCCATTCGGCCACCCTGCCCACTGTTATTTATTGACCTGTATAACACGTTATGGGCTCAAACCTCTCTTAAAAATTGCCTGGGATAGTTTGACCTGCTCTTTCCCCCACTGTATTGTTGTTAAATTATGGGACCACCCATAAATGAATATTAAGCCGTTAAAAAAGAAATCCTCGACCCCTCTAACATGTTCCTTTCCTTATAGAAACGGTTTTGTTACAAATACGAAAGCATCTCCATTGAATCTTCCCGTTGAACTTCATTTGATGACCTTCATCACAAAATTTCACCTTTCCAAATATCCGGGTGTCTTGAAAATATTTGATAGCCTCTTCTTCTGAAGGCGGCAATTCCCACAATGTGACAACATCTATAATTAAATAAGACTAACTCACAGCTTACACAAGCAACAAAAAATAAACAACGGAATAACTTAGGTTAGAGGAGATAAGGGAGTTATGTGAAATAAGATTAGATAACAAGGGAGGTTTTGGCGCTACCCCCTATTAAACAAGTACCCAGACAACTTTTTAGATATTTGATTTAATAAAATCTGACCAACAGTTGGAAACTTTTCAAGAATGTGGCACTAATTATATGCGGGACAGCATGACAAAAAATATGGGGTCCATTCATATCCAAGAACTTTCCCTGTTGCCATTTCAATCTATCTATTAGGTTTATAAAAAATGTTGGTCAATCTGATGAGCATAAATGCAAAAAATTCCAAATTATTGGCAGACAAAAACCAAGTTATTATTTAACATGTTTATTAGTTAAGAAATTGTGAATTTATAAGATTTCATAAAATGCTAGTTATCTATTCATGTATATGCTATAGTTATCTATATGGACTGATGAGCAGCAAACACTAACTCGGCTTTGAAATGATCTTTTCGTTACAGATTTCTAAAATTAGATGTTCACTTGATAAGCAGAGTTTGTAAAATTTATTGATGAAGACTGAAAAGCCCCATAACGTCATCAATAACTGGGTAATTTTTATTTGGTGGTTGGATCATTTTAAAGCTGTTTGCTGATTATCTGTCTATACAAATAACTATAGCATATATATAGTTACTAGCATTTTATGAAATCTTTAAAAAAATCACATTCTCTTTACACTTAATAGTATGGTTAATGGTTAAATAATAACATGTTTTTTGTCTGCCAATAATTTGGAATTTTTTGTTCTTTCGTTCATTGTAAATTTATAAAATTAATAGAAACTATTCCAGTCATTTTTTTCTTGCTGCTGATCACGTAATTTCTGGTACTTTTTGAGATTTTTTAAGCCGTTAGATACGTTAAAAGCTTCCAAAATTTTGTCTGACGTTATAAATCTGTTACCTACTAAGTTGTCTGAAACTATCCCATTCAATTATTTTCCTGATAGTGATCACGTCATTTTTGTTACTTTTTTTGATTTTTTAAAATCAATCATAGTCAAACACTTCCAGTTAGTCAAAAACTCGAGGGTTTTTGGCATTAGGGTTGTAATCTCAGCTGTTTTCAATTTTCAAACCTTCTGCCACTAATCATGTGGTTAATTCTTTGGTATATCCTAGACTATATTTATTTCTACACTCAGGAAGAACTAAATCCTAAATGTATGTCGATAACGTAAGAGATAAGTCGCTTCATACTTAATTTATGTTTATTAATCGAGAGGTTTGAAGATTGTTCCTTACTTATACTTTCAGACGCACTCAGCTAGTTTTGACATTTTGTATTGTATGCAGTGTGACTGATGTGATTTTGACCCAACAAATCATTTTTTTCATAATGAGAGATTATCTGCAATGATGGCAACCTTATCAGCATATAGTATTCAGCATTTTTCCGGTGTTGAATATTCTACTCCGCCTAATTCATCAGTTTTTTTTATAAACAGCAGAAAAAGAGTAGCGGACTTAATGAACATCCCTGCCTTAAACCAAATTTATAACCAGTATTTTCAGATTTATCTGTTTTCAACACCCTTAAGTTTTATGATTTTTGAGAATTTTTAGCACTTTTGATATTTTTTTCTAAAACTGCACCTCTGAATAAATAAAGATGAATCCTTATATTGAAAAAATCCCCAAAAAAATTTTTTAAATCCATACACGATTGCTCAATCATAAAATTGTTATTATTTTCAAGAACTACATTTACAAAAAATAGACCCTCATATCAAAGAAATCTGAAGTCAAATTGATATGTAATTGCACAATCATTATATCAGAATTATTTCCAAAAATTACACCTAAAAACATAATCACGGAATCTGATATGGAAAAAATTATAGTCATCGTTGCCAGGAACCTGAGGTCCCAGAAAGCACCCCAATAGGACATTACTATTAAGAATTAGGGCCACCCTATTTTTCAAGTGATTCAAATACATTAAATCTTTTATCAAACCTTACACCAAGGTAGATTACTTCCTCACTCGGACTTATCCTAAGTCCCTGAATATTCATGTCGATTTGGTGAGCCCTAACTGTCCTACTCTTCAGAAATATTGCTTGGGTTTTGGTATCTGCCATTTTCATCCTTTTCCTCTCGTACCATTCACCAAGATTGGTGCACCTTTCTGCTTCTGGTTTCAAACTGACTCTGCTGCGGTATGCCACCACTACGACTAAGTCATTGACATTGGCCATTGCAGAGAAACGCTTATCTTCGAGCACATCCAGTAACTCATCGCAGACTATCATGCAAAGAGCAGGTCTTAGAACAGAGTTCTGCAGACATCCCCTTTCGATATTTTCATCAATTTCGTGAAAGTTAGCTTATATCCTTACTCGCAGCACTTCTCGTTAGAGCATACAAGTTCCTACGGGCCTCAAACATTGGTAGATGCTGAAACACATTCAGCCACCATATGCTGTCAAAGGTGAAGAATATCTCAAAAAAAAGTAACATGACATATTTCTCTTTCTCCCTTATCTTCTCAACATCATGGCACGCTTAGAGCAAGGCGTCAGCAGTTCCTTTACTTGTAATGGATCCATGTTGCTGTGGCTGGCTAGCTTTATCTAATGTCAGTCACAGACTGATTAGTATGAGGGTCTTGCTCATCATAGGGAGGAGACAGATTGGTCTGTATGATTTAGCGAGTAGAGTACCCTCAAATTGGCAATTTTCCACTCTCTCAGAAAGTACCCCATATCCAAACAATCATTGAAGATGTTCAACAGCTATCCTTCAATATAGGAGGTACTGTTCTTCAAGATCACAGCATCAATATCTACTTGTCTTGCAACCTGATCGATTCTCTGCCTGTCCATAACATAATCGAGATCATGGAGTACAAGTCCATTCCAGATGGATATACCATAATGTGTCTTATGAATGCTTCATCTTTGTTGTCTTGGGATGGGTCATCGCTTGGGTATGTCGTCTCAATGAATATTCTTACAATCTCTGTCCACATACACACACAACATAACATATGTCAAGATGGCAGAGGTGCTGGAATGGATCATCTTCTGTAAGATGGATCCACCGTCTGATTCCTGATATATCAACATGGATATCCTAGGAGTAGATTATTACCACACCCAACTGCATACAGGGCATGGTTGCTTTAGGGCCTACTTAGGCTGCTTCAAAATAGAGGATAGGTCATCATGCCCAACTTGTGACCCCGTGGATGTAATAGTGGAACATTCATTTTCTGTTGTTCAGGTTTTGCTCAAGAAAAGGAAGAGCTAGCCATGAAATTAGGATAGAAATCATCTCCGGAAAACTTAGTCACTTTGATGATGACTAGGCAGGAGAATTGGAGTGCTGCAGTAGAAAGCTCAGAGCTCAGGAGCGAGAAAGGGGAGGCCTTTAGCTTAAATAAAATGTCCAGAGAAGAAGTAGGCATATAGTCCTTCTATTCCTCATGAAGTAATGCTTGACAGCAATTCCATGGGGGTGGTAAAGAAGAATTGGGAGGTGGTTGTTTAGTGTGTAGAAATCTCCCACTGTAATGTGACAGTTTTTTTTTTTTACACTTTGTCTTATTAAAGATTTTCCCGTGCCCAGGATACCCCAAAACTTGTATTTCCTTTGAATACTTTCCCTTCCTATATATTTCATATATATAATTGGGTATTTTATAAATGACAAATAGTGAGAGAAACCCAAGAAATGTCTCATTAGAGTATTTATGAAGCATTTTCATATTTTCAAAAGATAATACTGATTAATTTTTTTATTATAAAAATGAAAAAAATCATGGAAGATTAAGGTTAAACTAAGGGGTTGAACATTTTCTTAAATTTTAATTGAAATAATTATTTAAATATTAACCATGGCTGATGTAAAAACTCACAAAAAAAAATGTAATGTTCTATCTTTTTTTTTTTTTACATGATTTATTTAGTTAAGCTAATTAAAACCATGTGTGCATAATGCACAATTATTTAGTTTTCATGATATTATTCTTAATTTTGTGTATTAAATTGCATTTTATTGTTTTTATAGGAAAGAGCCAACAAAAGAAATGAAGGGTGCTATGAAAGTTCTAAATGACTTTCTGCAAAAGTCAGCTGGCAGAGAAATGCCTTATAACATGAAAAATGCCATAAATATTATACAACAGGAGTGGTTCAAGGTAACATATCATTATTAACAATTTGTTTAACCTGGTAAAGGTGACCCTGTGAGCATTTTTTATTTATTTTTTAAATTGTAATTATTAAAGTTTCCTTGTAGTTTCTAAACTATTTAGATGAATCCTGGGCTGATGAGTTTTTTTAGTTAGAATTAATATACTTAAAATTTCCCTTTAACAGAGTTTTAAGAGAATATTTAAACTATTTATAATTGTTAATTGATTTTTTTCCTTCTTCATACAAACTCACATTGTCATTTAACCCTGATAGCTCCTTGTCTCCAATAGACCTCAATATTTTTATTATAAGTTGACGTTTTTACCATCCATATAGTGGCTGGTGAGTCCTTTTTTTTTATTATAATTATTATTATTTTGCAGAAATTGCACCATTTGCCAGTATCAGAACATTACCCGGACCTAAGTCAAGGGTTAGGACCTTATGTTCATAAATTTTCTGTCAATGCTTGCAGTTCTGAGTGACATTGCTTTTTGCATTTATTCTAAAGAATTCATATAAAGGTCCAAGGACTTCATGGAGTTCATCTTCATGTCTGGGATCAAACCATTTACAGAAATTACTAACGGCATAATCCTCACCTTATCAACTTTTTCAGTTCCTCACTAAGGTCCTGATATTTGCAAATTTTTCTATCAACCACCTTGTGAAGATGATCATATGATGGTACCCCTAGATCTACAATCTTTGCCTGTTTCTCATCTCAAAATACATTTTAAAAAATCAGGCCTGTAGTAGAGAATAGTGTGGTACTTTATAATAACTTGGTCCGCTATAGCTTAACGTGCCATCTATCAATAATTGATTGTGAGCGATATTTGTAATAAGGGCAAGCATAGTCTAATATTTCATGGCTAATTCCAGATGAATGATCTTTTCTTTGTTTTGTCTCAGAAGAAGACCAGATTACCTGGTCCTGGTTTGCTATAATGAATCCCTCAGTTTCAGGGAATAATGTTTCCCTGCTGAGCCGTATCACAGACACATCCTTACCTACTCCTGTTGATGATGAACTATAGTAAAATCTTCCATGTAGTTCTTTGGATTTACATGTGTCAAGCAGAATGATTCATAGTTGGGGGAAATTTTTCACTTTCAAGGTTCAACACAGTGTAACCAGTGCTAGCATGACTGAGATGACTTCTGATGTATCATTTGCTCTAAAATAGTTTCAGAGTTGTACTTCTTCCTTACGGTATAACTTTAACAGACTCAAAAGCCCCATCCTCCCATTTTTCTCAGTATATTCTTACAATACACAATTTTCGATGACGTTTTTGGGAGTTTGTCATTTGCACTCTTAGGCCCCTTTCACACTGAAGATGCAAGACGCAAGATGCATGCGTCCTGGATGCAGGATGCTCGTAGCTTTAAGCTTTCATAACAAGAAAAATAGATAAAAACATATGGAGTAATAGTTGAAAATCAGAGAAATTGATAAAAAAAAAGCCTACAGTTGAAAAAAAAAATTAAACAATAGATACAAAAAAAGGAAACAATACTTGAAAATAAAAATGAAATTGATAGAGACGTCAATCATAAGAGCTTAGAGAAAATTGAGAAGGGAGAGAGAGGATAGACTGAGCGTTGGCGATGTAAGCCGACCAGACCCGATGATTGATCTTCAAAAATATTTTGCTTCGGGCGGGCCGAGGTGGAAGGGGTGAGTATACAAGACCAGCACAACAAAGATGCACGTTGAAAATCTCCAGCCGGCTGGTTTTCAAGATGCACATGCATCTTGCATCCAGGCTGTAAGACGCACTTGCATCTTCGGTGAGAAAGCTCTCGTTCTATTTTACTGTCCAGTGTTTAAGATGCATTCATCCTAAATCTTGCATCTTCGGTGTGAAAGGGGCCTTAGATAAGAGTCTATGGGATGCAGATCTGAATTGGTGCATTTTAACATCCCAAATAAATGTAATAATGGTCTTTAGATGCCTTTTTAATTTATCCTTAAAATGAAAGAGGAGTAAGCATCAGATGTTGGAGTGTATCTGAAACGTCTACAGGTTTGCATCTCTTTTTGTTAACTTTCTGATTTCTTGATTAATCCAAGGAGCAGGAGGGCATCTTCATTTCAAGAAAAGTCTTCAAAGGTGAGTGGTGATTTAGGAATAGGGAAAGATTAGAGGAAATGTATTACACCATTTCATCAATAGGAGAAGAGGAATAGATGATTTCCAGGGATTGGGAACAGTGAATCAAGAAAATGATGTACATATTCAGTGGTTAATGAGTCAAGATCACGCCAGGAAATTTGCTTTGGAATGATCATAGGAGTTGGAATCATGAAATTCCAACTCCTAAGATCATGATATAAAATAAAACATACTATATTCTGAGAGAGGGATACAGAATTTATTATAACATGCCGTGTTCTAGAAAACTGGGTATAGTGAGTGAGTTGAAAGACAACAAAAGGTCAAAGGAGTAGATGAGATCTCAAAGGTATGATTTATCAGGAGAGTTAGACGATAAATTAGTGTTAAAGCCACCAGCTAATATAATGTTATTGTTAACTGGAACGTAAGTTAAAAGAGAAGATTCAAAGATAGGATCAAAGGGAACTTGAGGAGAGTGACATATTATGATGTAGAGGAGGGATAAGGAATCTAGGGAGATTTCTACAAATAGATATTCTATATGAAGAGTAACTGGAGAGGGAGATTTGTGAAAGGTTTTTGTCCTTCGACTATCATAAATAAAAACATCACCAGCTCCACCAGTTGGATCCGTCTAATTATCACAAATGACGGTGTAATTGTATGTATGTATGTATATGTATATATATATATATATATATATATAATATATATATATATATATATATATATATATATATATATATATATATATATATATATATATATATACATATACATATACATATACATATACATATACATACTTACCTATTTATGTAATATATAGTAAGGGAATGTTTTGAAGTCGCCTAGGTCCAAATAACTAAGTCAAACAAAATTGTCTGTGTATGTGTGTGTGTGTGTGTGTGTGTGTGTGTGTGTGAACAGTGGCCGGAAGTGCCACTTTATATTATCAAATTTACACATTTTTACAATTTTCTCAAAAACGGCTAACGATTTTGATTAAATTCATTATATTGGTGTAAAATTTAAATGTTACTTACTAATTTTTAATTTAATTTAAAACTAGGCAGTTTTTTTTATATAATATAGGTTTTATTCTCATTTATTTTCTTTAACAGAGTTCAAATGCTTAATTTTCAAAATTTCTTTCCCCAAAGTACCTTTTTTTTTTATTTGATATAATTAACCATTTCTCATTGGAAACTGATATAAAAAATGGTTAAATATAATGAATTACGATAGGTAACTAAAGGAGAAATAAGAGTTAGAAGCTATAAGGAAACACCCTAGAGCGTCCGATCTTTGCCGATCCTCATTAGTTTAAGTTTTATTTATCATTTATCCATAACTTTTTAAAAAGGTTTTCATACGGATTGTTGAGGATCTACTAATATATACCTACTAATATACAATATTTACTAATGTTAAGTAATTTTTTTGACGAGTTTTGTGATAAATGTTTCCGATAAAACTCTAAAATGATAAAAAAAAAATCCACAATCGTTAGTATTTTAGTTTATCATTAGTATATTGATTTGATACAATTCATAGTTGTAAAAGTATATTGAAAGTGATACAAAGGTATAAATTTAACAGATTCGATGGACGGGAAAAACATGGTAATAAATTATTTTAAAAGTTATACCGGCTTTTTCACTTTGACTTCCCTAGATATGAAATTAATTATCTAATATAAGATTAGTAAGTGAAAGTAGTGTGATGCGCGTACCGCTCCAGATTTTTTCTCATTTTATTTTATTAGTAAATACATTATTTCATCATTCTTCATTTGTTTTTATGTTTTTTGATAAATATGTATATTTTTAATGAAAATTTAAATAATCTTAATTATTCTAGGTTATAAGTCCATTTAGAATAAATTATGAATACATTTTAAGTTTACCAGAACAGTGTGGCCATACTGTCTTGAACTTAATTCATTTGTATTCATTAATACAATAATAAAAATTAAATCAAGAAATATAATCTGGAAGGAAAAAAAAAGATAATAACAAAAACAATACTAAGTTCTTTGAGTAATTAGCAAAATATTACCAAATGGAAGAATAAATGATATAATGTATGATAACATTCATCAAACTTGACAAGAAAAAGGTGGTTATAAAGGAGGGATTTGAACGAGGAAACTGTTGATGTATTACCTATGGTTATATGTTGATAGACTCCTGAGGGATAGGAAGGACTTGAACACACTCAGCAGTTCGGTGGGAAGGAGGTTAGAAGTAAGAAGAATGGGATCGGGTTGAAGAGGATTTAATGGAAGAATTAAATTTCAAACTCTGTAGGAGGTTGGATGGCCTCTAAGTTGATAATTTTTACATGATTCAAGAATGATATAAGAAATTCTGACACTGTAGTATCGTTATAACCACTTTAACTCGCTATAATACTGGGTTATATGCATCTCTGACGATTCTGAGATCAAATCTAACTGAGCAGTTTAATTCTTTTGAATCTGGCTTTGAATTCGCAATGGAAGGGAGTCCACTTTACATCATACAGATACTGAATTATTAAATTACAATTATTTCCAATCCTTTACTTTCAGATATCCTCTTTAATAAACTCCATAATTTATATTTATATTTATTCATTTATACATTTCCCTTCATTAATAAAGCTTCCTCTCTGTATCTTCTATTAATTTTGTTTTAGGTATCTAGTACTGCTGAAGCTAACCCATTAGATGTTGAAGACTATTTAGATTGTTTTGAAGAATTATCTGTTACTCTGCTTGAATATATTGTTAATATGACTGATGTTTCAGTAAGTTCATTGTATAATAAAATGTGTAACGTAATATCAGTATATATTTATCTATCAATATACTAGTAAATAAAATCTTTGGTAGCTTTCAATAAAACTAAGCAAGTAAGTAACTTATGTAAAATTAGATAAGTTATTAACTGATATTTAAAAACCAACAGTTTTAATTGAAATCTTCTAATAATAACCAAGGCATAATAAATGTATATTAAAATTAAATAGGCTAAAACCCGCAGTTTTCGGCACCCATTGGTAGTTGTTTAACAATATTAAGCTTTTGGAATGGCCTAGAATTTTTGAAAGAGGCTCTTTTGAAGCATGAATCCCTTCTGTACAACCCTATCATTCCATATTTCACCATTTATCTTGCTTTAGTTATAAAAAAAGGCTCTGAAGATAAGATTCCCAACTGACATAACCGAAAAAGGACATGCCTTATGTTTTTATAAGAAAAACACATTTACTTTTCGAGAAATTCTAAGATATGAACTGATATTTTTAGGTATTTAACTACTTCATCTTATTCTGTGTATCACTGTTAGTTTAGCACACAAAAACAGTCAAACATTTTAATTTTTTAATTATTTAAAATGGTTGCTGAAAACTGGACCATAAACAATATAAAATTTAGTCTTCAGTGCTTTATTGCCGAAATCTGAACCCTACTGTTTTAATTTTTGGCACTCCTTTTAGCCCTAGTTTCCAGCCAGGGTATCTTCATTTCGGCTAACTTAGCTGCTAGAACTAGTTTGTAGTATTATTTTGTTATTTGTGATAATTTTATTGATTTATTTTTCTGATTGTTATTTTAAGAGGATTTTTTAGTCAGTTAATGCATACTCTTGTCTATTCTCCTCAGAATAAAAAAAAATATTGCAGATTTATAATTGAAAGATTAATCAAGAATGGTGAAACAGCAACAGACAAAATAAAAAAAACTCACGAATTATGGAGAAAAAAAAATTTGAAGCCAAATAATCCAAATATAATGTAACCTACACTAAAAAAAAATTGTAATATTGGCTGGATCCATAAGTTCGTTCGGTTTTTGAAGGTTGAAATTAAGCATTTTTTTTTTCCATACAAAGAATAAATTTTATTTAATAATTTATTTTCTGTTTTTATTAATGACCTCTTGTCATCTTTCTAACAATTTCATTATTCTGCTCCCCTAAAACATCTGGAGTTTAGAAGCAAAAAACTGATCGAGATATTTTTTCACATCTCTCTCATCAGAGAAGGATTTCCGGTTGATAAAGTTTTGGAGGGACTGGAATAAGTGTTAGTCATCTAAGTGTTTAGTTATTTTTCACCATCTTAGTTCACACCATCTAGTGAAAGATCCGAAGAATATGGTGGGTGTAATAAAACATCCCACAAGTTTCACTAGCTTTTACTGTGGTGAAATGCAAAACCTTTGCGATCAACTATTTCTGGGCATTTCTGTCGCAATGCTTGGTCCAATTTCGTTAGCTGGGTGTAATAGATCTTCAAAACAATCGCTTTTCCTTGTGGAAGCAACTCATAAAACAGCATGGCCTGATAATCCCGCTATATGGGGAGCAAAATCTTTTTTGTATGTTAGAGCGGCCTTCGGGGTGGCATTAAGCTGCTCGTCAGCAGTTGTCCACGGCCTGCATAGTCCTCATTGTAGATAATCTACTTTTTGTCACCTGTCTCTATTGGTTTGAGAAATGGGCCCCTTTTGTACCGGTTTAGAAGAGAGTTGCAGATTGATATCCGGTTGGCCAGGTTTGTCTCAGTTGTCACTTCACCAACAAACATCGATGCGGTACACATAGCATAGCTGTTTTAAATGCCTTTGAATGGTTCCAAAATCTATTTTCAGTGTCTCCATATTTTCTCATCCTGTAGCGACCGGTCTTGTTTGATTAGAACCTTGATATCACTCGAAACCACCTCGGTGGGACGATTGCTGCGGAGTGCATCTTTGAGACTAGTATCTCCAGAACGAAACTTGGCAAACCATTTTTGATTAATACTTTCTGTTAGGGCATTGTCCCTGTATAACTTATGTATCTTTTGGTTGGCCTTTGAAGCTTGCCTTTTTTGAAATAAAAAAGCAAAATATGCCGAAAATGCACTTTATCAATTGATATATTCACTACGCTATAGCGCAAATGAAACTAATGCCAAAGAAACCAAACAATAGTTCTCAAATTCTCAAATCAAGGTTATTAGTTCGATTAAAAATTCTGTCAGTTTTAATTTTATATAGAACATCGTCATCACTAGAATGTATTTTTCCTGATATAGAGACAAGAAAGCGGAAAACTGAGAAAAGTGAATTTAAATTCGAATTTTTGACTTAAAATTCCCAGCTATGGGGTAACTGACTGTCTTTTCAGATTTTATGATGGTAAATAGTATAAATCTAAATGTTTGGTAGATTTACATCTTCCGGTTAAGTAAAAATGTTGCTGGCTCTCTGTCTATAAGGACTGGGCACACTAGGGACTTATACAGGTTGCAAATAGTATTTGTTTGCATACTTATTATTACATACTACATACATATTATTGCATACTTATATATTACATACTTGTAATGCATAGTACACTGATTTTTTTTATTGATTATGAAGTTTATGTATGATTTCATTTCCTTGTCACCAAACTAACCTCATATCCTTTACTCGCTCTAAATATTTCATATTTTTTTGTCTCATTAAATATAAAGTTTCATTTGAGTATTATAATTTTTTTTTTATAATTTCCAGGGCAACACTGCTATGCATTACGCAGTTTCTAATGGGAATTTTGATGTTGTTTCTATATTACTCGATTCAAAGGTGTGCAATATTAATAAACTTAATGCTGCTGGTTACACAAGTATCATGTTGGTTGCACTGACTAAGGTGAAAACAGAAACAGACAGGCAAGTTGTGAGGAGACTCTTTCATATGGCTGATGTGAATATTCGTGCTAAACAAGTAAACAAAAATATTGGCATTTTTTTAAATTTAAATAACATTAGTTATTGTTAGTGTATTATGATGGTAGGTGTACAATATTTTAGATATGAAATGCTTTTATCTAAATTCTTTGTTCTTTCCATAACCTATTAACAATTTTAGGTTCATTTAGTTATTTATTTTTTTTTATTATTTCATCATTTTTCGATAACCTGACATTTGTTGTTGTTTTACATTACTGTAACTACTTACACTTTGACTCTTTAATGGTCCTACCTCTATGCAGTCAAGTGTAGCCAGGCAATATTTTTGAAAAATTAATTTAAACAATTGTTTTCAATAACGAATTACTCTCAGTGGTGCTATCACACACATGTGTGTGTGGCCTCACTCATTAAAGTTTTATTATGTAGTATAATCAGAGATGGGCAAATGCTTTTCTGAGTACTGAGTACCAAGTATTTTACTCAAATACTGACCTTTTTTTAGTATGGAAGAATTTAATTATTACTTCATTTGATGTCAAACAATTAACTGAAGTAGTGACTGAATTCCCAATAGTGATTCAATTTGAGAAAAATACTTGGTACTAGGCATATGGGACTCTATTGACTCTCTTTTAATGTCTTGTTGTGTTTTGATATATCATAGATTTTAAGAGAGACTAAATTATATATTTTTGAAAAAATAAAAAATTAACTTTATAAATCTTATAAATACTGCATAATAATATATAAGAGCAAATTTAATTAAAATTTTATTTCAATTTTTTAATTGTTCACGAGTTATGTTAGTTCTAAACTTGTGATACTAAGTTCTAAACTTTCCTTAATATTGCTTTATTCACTTAATATTTTTATAGTTTCTTACATTAATGGCTGTCCCACACAGCACAGCTTTTTATTCTACTTCATCATAAGATCTGAAAATCCAAATATCTTGCGACTTCTAATAGTTCTCCTGGGACCTATCCATTATTTAAAATGACAAAAGGATAGCTTTTTTAATTCTTTTTGGTAGTATAGTTGTTTAGTTCCTGATAAAGCATTTGATATGTTTTTGTCTTATTTGCAACAATGTTTTATATCCTGGGAAACAACATTCGTCATTTGGAACTCTTATTTCAATCATTGCTACTATATTTTCTATTTTTCATAGAATTAAAATATATAATTTACTCCAAAATATCCTTTTCACTGTGAAAAAATCATCTTCCTCTGTGAATCATTGTTGTAAATTGAGCACTTTGGCAGTAAGTGCTGAGAATATTTAACTTTTAAATAATCAAGGGTTAGACTCTGTTTACTTAATGTTTTTGAATTAACAATAATACTGGCATTGCTGTCAAACCCTATCCAATATTTTTGTGAAAAAGTTTAGTTCTGAGCTAGAATCAAGCATTGTCTACAAAAAAAACAAAAGTTTGAAAAAATCACACTGTTCTCCAATCGATATAAATTGTTAATTATAGCAATCTGATCCACTATATAGTTACAGTGCCTTAATCCTTCAACCATGTCCTTCCTAGCTTTGTTATTTAGCAGCTATATTTTGCAAACTTTTATTATTATTATTTTACTTAGATCACACAGAGTGGCAACTGCAGTTTATTATTTCAGAATTTTACACATCCTCAATTGTTGGAATATTCATCTACCTTCTCCCCTCCCCCCCCCCCACGGATATCTCTCCAACCACCTTATGTATATTATCATTAAAAATTCCTATGATTATTACTAATAAAAACTATCATAACTTTTAAATTAAAAGAAAAAATATGTGAAATAAATGTAATGTAATGTAAAAGTATTATGTGATTTGAATATCATATATTTAATATAACCATTAAACCATTGAATATAACCAAAATATTTAGTTACTTTTCTTTAGGTTATTCTTATGGTAAATAAAAAAAATTATATATATATATATATATATATATATATATATATATATATGCACGTGCATATGTGTTTTTGTTTTGTTTTGGAGACATATCACTTATTTCGAGTTTCTTTTGCCTTCGTGGCTGTTGATATAATAATGCCACTGTCATAATTTTTATATCTTAATAAATTCTTAATTACCTTCCATTCAAGTCAATCAGACTTTGCTAGCTGCATGTCTTTTGTCTTTAATCAGCATTGTTTTCCAATAATCTCTTTAGTATCTTTTTTGATCGGTTGTTCTACAATCATCAGTTTTTTCTTTGTGTTCTTTTCAGTAAGAACATTATGATTTTTTTTATTTTTTTGTTTAGTTAAACAGTTTGTTGCCAATTGGGGTCGACCAAGAATGTTTTATAGTGTAAAATATTAGGGGAAAAAGGGAGGGTTCCAACCACTGAACTGAAGTACTTATATCCTTTGTAAAGATTTCTTAGTAACCTGCTAGCTTACTTAACAGAAAAAATTGGGGACTTTTTGCCCTATTTTCTGGTTTGCTAACTAGTAAACCAGAGATGTGTTATTGAAAACATGTTGTAAATTAGATAATTGTTGTATTAATATGATTATTAAAATCAATTATTATGTATGTGTTCATTTCTACTACACTTTTTTGTTTTCTATAATGCCTTAACGTGGGTCCAATCTATGTAATTTAAGCACTTAATTATATCGCTTCATGTTATATTGTCATAAGAGTTTTAACACTGCCTAAGTCAATTTTTGACTATATATGTTTCCAAGATATTTTAAGATTTAAATATGACATTGAATTATGGAGTCATCAGAAATACAATTAGGCAGTTTTTTTTTTTTTAACCTTGTGGATGAAGTTAGATGGTGTTAGAATTTATGTGACAATATTCTTTAGTATGTTTTTAAAACCTTAGGAACTGATTTTCATTTAAAGATTCTTATTTTTCTGCTTCTAGCATGGCCAGACTGCTCTTATGCTCGCAGTTTCACATGGTAGAATTGATACTGTTCAGCTTCTTTTAGAGTCAGGAGCTGATATTAATATTCAAGATGAAGATGGTAGTACAGCTTTAATGTGTGCTGCAGAACATGGATACATAGATATTGTTAAAATTCTTCTTGCTCAACCTGATTGTGATCTGTCCATAACGGATTTGGTAAAAACAGCTTTTCTTTAACCTATGATAACTTTTGCTTTATTATTTTCCAAGTTTTTATAATTTTAATTAGAAAAAAAGAATAAGAATAATGGTCATATTTTGATTTTGAAGATTTATCAAGAAACAGGGGGGTTTATTTGATATTTTTCATGGATATATCTGAAGATAGTTTTAATATACAGCTCATTGAGCTTTACATTGTACCAGAATTGAAAGAACTGAGAAATAAATAACAATTTGTCACCAATTAATGCAGTTGGACTAAAAATCATCTCAACACCAAAATAAACTTAATTAACAATTAACCAACCTTATATAACAATGACACAATCTTCTTGAATATCTAAAATGATATGTCATGGATGAAAGATATGATGTCATTATATACTAATTATTGAGTTACTCCAAACTTAGCATTTTTTAGCAATAGAGTAAACCCACATCAGCAAATTTTATTTGGAAAGTTTGTACTATATGCCCAGAGTAGAAAACGAGTGTTCATAATTTTTTTATTGCTCTTTATTTCAGAGAAATAAGGAGGGGAAGCCCATTAGTTATTGGTGTGACTGCTGAGTTTTGCTTCAGATTTTATAGTTATTCGGTTTTTTATTATATATTCGGCTCAAACAAAAACCATGTTGAGGAGCATTAAATGTACATTTTCTGTCCAGTATACATAATAGAAATTAATTTAAATGGCCAAAAATTATAGATAAATATTAAGATTAACTTATAGATCTTCAAGTATTGCAATTTTCAAAAAAAAAAAATTAATGAATTTTTATGGAGGATATATGTATGGAGTATGTAAGTATTTGTGGTACTATTAAGATTAACTTAATGGTCTTCAAGTATTGCAATTTTCTAAAAATAAATTTTTTGTTGCACTAAAGTTCTTGGAGAGTCTGAGCTTTGCAATTTAGTCTGGTAGTAATTTCTATTGGCCAATAATGTCTTCCAGTTACAAACACCCAAGATAGATCTTCCATCTTTAGATACATTATCCATTCATCGCTGCCAACTTTCCTAGTGCCATATATTTTTTCATCAAGGATCTTGTGATTTATAGATTCTGGAATAATTCTTGCAATATGACCAGCTCACCAGAGCTGTTGAACCATGATTACTCCTACAATATCAGTGCCCTTGTACTGTTTCCCTAACTCGACATTGGTTAAGATCCTCCATACAACTACTCTGTAAGGGACCAAATATCTTTCTTAATAAATAGAATTCAGATTGAAGAGCTTCTTGTACTTTTGTTAATGTCCAAAATTATGAACCATAGGATAACAAATTCCTAAGTTTGAAATGTCTTGTAGATTCCTACCTTTGCTGATAGAGAGACTGCTCTACTTTTTAAATGATTATAAAGGCAATGTACTGTTTGTTGGCCGCCAAGAGTCTCATAATTTATGTTTTTATATCGTTATCAGAATTTGAATGAATGAAAATGTTGCAGGTATCACTGGCAATTTTTATTAAAATATTATTTTCAGTACAATATTTCTTTCTGCAATTATATTATTTTCTAGTTATAGTATGTTTTATACCTAAACCTTTACTGAACAAGGCACAATTAAGAAAAGGAATTAATTAATAATTTTTGCTCAAACACATGTATTTGGTATTCTCCACTCACCATTTATATATTGATTTCCAAAAAGCCAATGATAACATCATTAGAAAAGAATAGTACAAGGCTTTGCTTCAAATGGGGATACCAGCCAAAATTATACGCCCGATAAACTATGAAAACTATGAAAGAAGTACAGTATAAAATTTGAGTTCAAGGTGACACTTAAAAAAGTTCTCACTCATAGTTTCTTCTTTGCCAATAAATTTCTTTTGAGTTCATATTCAACCTCATAATTTTCTTCAACACTCATAACTATGGAATTTTCAATGGAATGAGGTATGTTTTATGACAGATTCAATAGGAGAAAAAATTATAAAACAATGTTTTATCCTTAGCTCTATAGCTGTATTCAGCCTGTTTACATTACAAAGACTTTCTACCTCTTAAAATTCCTCTGGTGTTAAATTAAAACATGGATGCTAGGTCACTATTTACACCAATATGACCAATGATATTGACACCTATCCTAAAGTGATGATTTTATTTCCTTTATGAATCTGTTATAAAATATAATAAATCCTATAGAGAATTCCAGGGTTATGTATGCTAGAGAAGTATCGGAGAGAAGAGGTTGAATGTGAGTTCAAAAGGAACTTCCAAGTTACACAATTCACCTCTAAATTCCAAAAGCATTCAGAGTGTGAAAATTTGGTCAGTTGTTGATCTACCTCTTCGAAAACCGCTTTGATATTTACCAAACTCCCTCTCAGTATATGGAAACAACCGGTTGAAAAAGACAATGGACAATATCCTGTAAGCACATAGAAATAAGGATATTCCCCTGTAATTTTTACAAGACAGAGTATCTCCTTTATTGTGTAGTGGACAAATTATTGTCTTCTTCCATTTCACAGGTAACCTCTCCTCAGTCCAGATATTGTGCAGTCGATCCCGAAAAAATTTTTACCAGTTCATGTCCGCCAGGCTTCAGCAGCTCCGCTGGGATATTGTCAATACCAGGGGCTTTATTGTTCTAAAGTTTGATAAGAGCATCTTGAATTTTCTCTTCGTCTAGGGGGTCCAAGTGATCTGCTTCCTATCTTTATCCATGGCAGATCTTCTGAAGTCCTCTTCAACATTACCTCTATTGAGCAAACCTTCAAAGTGATCTGTCCACCTATCCAATATTCCATACCTATCAGCGATCATGGATCCACCCTCCACTTTGCAGGCAATAGCTCTAGGCTGTCCATGTGCACTCTGCACAATTTTCAGTATCCTTTAGCTTGGAGGTGTCGAATTGTTTAACCATAATTATATGTCTAATTCTGGCGATCAATATTTTGGCTCTGATGACCATGAAATGGTCCAAGTCAACATTAGCACCCCTGTAAGTTCTAATGTCAAGGAGTGAAGACCTATGCCTCATGCTCATGAGCACGTAGTCAATTTGGGATGTCGTGACTCGTCCGTTGGGACTGTGTTTGCGGCAAGTTCCCAAGTGGATCTCTTCGTGAAGAAAACACATGCTTCCGATCAACAGACTCTTGGAAGCCAGAAAATTTATCAGGCACTTCGCATTATCATTTGATCTGTGATGCAGGCTATATTAACTGATAGTGGACTTGTGTATACTGGCTCCTTTCATATTTGGGCGTTGTAGTCACCCATCACGATTTTCGTGTCCTAGCTGGGACATTCGTCATAACATCTCTCCAGCTCTTCATAGAAAATATCTTTATCTTCCTCATTAGAGACCTCGGTTGGAGCATGAGCACATATTAGGCTATAATTATAGAATTTTCCTCTAAGTCATAGTCTACATAGGCTGGGGATAATGGGTTTAAAGTCTATCTCAAGTGGTGCAAATCTCTTTCCTATGACAAACCCTGTGCCAAAAGTGTGGAGGTGATCATCACAGCTGTTGTAGATGGTGTGTTTTCCCTTCTTGAAACTTCCATTTCATCTGATTTCCTAAGTGATATTACAAAGTTGTATTTTAAAATTAATTTAGATATTTTTTTCATTTTCAGGATGGTAACACTGCTCTTGCTATTGCTATGGAGGCAGGAAATAGAGATATTGGTGTTTTGCTGTATGCCCAGGAGCATTTTTCAAGAACAAATTCTCCGTTTGGATCATTGAAAATTCGTCGAGCAAAAAGTGCTACACCAACCCTTAGAACTCGCTCTCCCACCCCTCCGAATTGTTCTCTTGAACACTCACTGTAACATATGATAGTGTTTATTTAATATAAAAAAAAAAAATCAATTTTTTTTTTCTTGGTTCTATGTTTGGTCCTCTAAAAAATTCAATTTTTGTAAGTCCTCCTAAAAATGTATCGATTCATATAATATTTTATTAGCCATAATCTCGGTAAATATAATTTATTTACTAAATTTACTTTAAAGTGTGTTGGATAGTCATTATTAATTAATCATTCATATTTATTATAGTTATTGATTGCATTGTAGGATCAAGTGGATAAATTTGATAAGTTACAATTTTAGAAAAATTGAATAATTGTCATAATAAAGGTTTAAAGTGATATATTTTATATATTCTACTTCTATTTACACAATTATTCTATTGTTACCTCAAAACTGAGTTAATAAAGGTTCTAAGTGGTGTTACACATCTGCATTATACTTAATATAGATGATATGAATTCAGTTTTCTCAGAAATCAAGAATGTTCTTTCATCTTCATTCTCTTGACCCTTCAATCAGTTATTTTCAGTATTTATCTAAAAGTAGAAAATAAAATAATCATATTCTACTCTTATTTAATTATAATTTTATAACAGGAGCATAAATTAAACCTTAAATTTTTAAGAATTATTATATCTTGAGCTAGATAGTTTAATTAATGTTTTTATTCTTGTTTGTTTGGCATCTTAAATTTAATTTAATTTTGATTCTGTTATTATTATCATTATCTTTAGGATAAAAATGCTTGTTACAAATTGTAACCTCTAATCAAAGTGATATTAATATTATTTTCAACTCATCTTATTCATTTCTTCTCAATAATGCATCTTTTTGGCACTGCACTTGAACTAAATCGTTTGAAGTCTAAGGCAATATTGATGTTTTGGGGATTATTTGGCTCTTATAAAAGCAGCACTGGGAAATATATATATATATATATATATATATATATATATATATATAATATATATATATATATATATATATATATATATATATATATATTATTGAATATTTATTTCTTTTATTATTAGCATTTGTGTTCATTTTGTATTTACGTGAAATTTATATATGTGTGTGTGTGTGTATATATAATTTGTTGTACAGTATAACTTGACAATAATTCATGTCTATTCATGGTGTCTGCCTTGTCTATACCTGGTTATAAAATGTGTGACAGCACCCATTAAAATTTTTATCAACTCCATAATATAATTATAAATGAATGGAATGCTTCAATGATTTAGCTGATTACTGTGATAAAAAAATACAAATGTCAAGGCCTACAGAATTAATTAAATATTGTATTATTGCTTATATTTACTGAAGATAATGCTAATAATCATGGAAAACAAAATAAATTCAACATTCAGTTTTGTTATTTATGATTACAAACATAAACATATGCCTAAATATGTCCATTAAAGATTTTACAAGCATTAATATACATATAGAAAGCATCTGAAGTGAAATTAATAATAATATTGTAAGGATAAATTTAGTTAATCATGATGAATATTGAGAAGATATTATGAAAAAAAAATCATAGATCATACATCATAAAAATAGAAATGTTATAATCTACATTAAGTAATTCATTGCAATGTTAAAATAATAAATAATTTCAAAAATGGAGATAACTACTCATAATGAATTCTATGTCGCCCTTGAACAGTGAATTGTGTACCAAAACTCTTCTAGAAATTATTAGATAATATGATAGATGACTCTTCTGGTGATCTAGATGATTCTAACTTGTCACCTGAAATCATGGAAGGAATCCTTGTTATATAAATTCCTTTAGCTAATATAATTTAGTCCTGTTCAATTTTATGAAAGCTGGTTGGCGTACTACCTCACTTTCTGAATTAAAACCCTATCTTTCTTGAAATTGTCATTTTTACTGCTAGACAGTTTTATGTCTAACATTGACTGCTAATTTTCTGGCTGTTAATTTATCAGATTAGTTATAAATTGAAAAAAAATATTAAATTCTGTTTTGATGAAAATTAATATTTCTGTTTTCATATTGAATTTTGATTTTAATTAAATATAATTATAGAACTTTTTTTTATGTGGATGAAATAAATCTCATTTTATTCCTTATTATCACTGCTGGCCTAAGAATTGAAAAAAAAAAAAAAAAAAAAAGAAGCAGAAATTGTATTAAAATGCTTTTTATTATAGACAAATTAATTTAAAATAATAGATTTTTTTCATCTATGATAATAGTTTTGTAAATATTGTGAATTGTTTTACTTCCTATTGTTAGCTACTTCTTTTTTATGTTTTTCATTTTTATTTAATTAAATTATTTTAATGAAATCACAATACTGAATTATTGTTTGTAAAATTTATTTTTATTTTTGTAAAAAATTTATTTACTTATAAAGGTAAATTTTACAAGAATATTTTTTGTATAAAATTGAAGATTATTCTATAATTCTTAGTAAATTCTATTTTTTTAAAGTGAGAATTAGAATTGATTAGTGACCTCAAAGTCACCTATCAAATAAGAAACATTGTTTTACATTTACATTAATGTTAACACAATTAAAGTGAATTTATATACTTAATATAATGTTACTCTATAACCATAAAAGATTTGAAAAAACATTGTATTTATATACATTTTAGTTTTAAATAGAAAATTATGTTTAATGTATAAATTGCCCAATGTAAATAATTTATTGTAAATTGAAATATTTATATTTTAGATTTGAAAATGGCCCATGTAAGGTTGAAATATGATCAATAAAAAAAAAAAAAAAAATTATAACTATAGAAGAGGGGCTCTTTGTTACTGTATACCTGTAACACATTAAAACTTTCAAGACATATGGCTACTCAAGATGTTTTGATGTGTTGCTGATTTTACCTTGCCAATTCTAATTTATTTAATCCTAATGTTAAAAAACCGGTATCTCTTTACAAACTTTAAAAAAAAAATGTGTCATTTTATCCCTAATCTCTCATATTCTATATAGTTTTTTTGCTACACTGTTTTAGATAATTTTGATTTGTGTACACATTTTCTTAAACCCAATTTGGGAAGTGAAAAACAAAATGGAGAAAGAAATCAACAAGATCTTGCATTTTCTATTGTCTATAAAGAGAAACATAGTGTTTCTTTACTTTTATTTAATTCTTACAATGGAAAATTATATATTTCATGTTTAAAAACAATTCCAAATGAGAGGTTATAATATTAGATGGAAGTTCCTTCAGTGCGGAGGAGACCACATATCATAAATGGAAACTCTTCTTAAAATGTTTGTAAGGTAAACAAAACATAAAAAATACATCATTAGCGGACAGTATCTTGATTGCCGGCAGACTTAGAGTTGAGAGGCAAGAGCACCTCTTCGATTGTTTTGCAAAAAAAAGTAAATAATTGTTGGGGAATTAAAACTTCATATATGATATGATCTAATTAGAAAAATTAAAACTAAATAAGGAGACGATTGTAGAAGATGTAGTCAGAAATATATAATTAAGTAATATTATTAATGATGTCGACTTTGTTTAGTCTTGTATAGTTATTATAAGTTTATGTCTATATATTCCTGTACATATTATTCCACTATATTTATTTATTTTTCTCATATAAGAGAATATCTTGTTTTCTTGGTCCTTAAGAGGGCTTAGAACTTACATTAAAACATCTACACACATTAACAGTTAGTGGTTCATTATTGTAATTGATTTCAGATTCATTATTGTGATTTATTTCAGACCACTTCCCCAACCATTATTTTCTTGATTTTATCAGGTGACATCTGTATTTCCATTGTACTAAAATGATTTTATTGTGAATTAGGTTCACATTAAACAAATATATATATTTTCTGTATAAAATAGGAATTTATCTATCACACTTTTCCTCTTATGCTTGTATATTAATGCATTTCAACTGTTAGTGAATATAATTATATACACATACCTTTTTTACATGATATTAAAGTATTGTAGATGTTTTTATCCGGGGTGAATTTACAATAGTAAGAGCATAAAAGAGTAATCAAAGTTTTGCATTGCTTTATACCAAAAAATATATTGTTAAACATAAACATGGTGGTTTTTAATCTGTCCTCTTTTAATGTCTGATGATTTCACACAATTGTATGTAAATGATTGAATACAGTAAGCTTACTAATAATTAAACTAACTTGGATTTTCATTTTTAAATCAAAATATTCTTTATTTAAACCCTTAACCAATATTTAGTTCATCATTACCTTGAATAATAATAGTAGAATAAGTGAATTGATGTACACACAGTAGTTTGATTTATTGTAAAGTAAAATAATTTGTATGAGCTTCTATGAAATTTTTCATAAACTGAATTGGTTAAAATATACAAACAAGATCTTGGAAATTGGCTCCAAAGTATACCAAATTTTTCACTAATCATGGTTTCACACAGGATTGATTGAAAATAAAAAAAAAAAAAAACAAATCTTTCCTACCTATTTTTTATTTAAATGTCTAATTGTAAGTATAACTTCAATATCATTCTTATTATTTTTTTTCAAATATATTTGTCTAACTAGAAAAATATATATTTTAAATGAAAATATATTTATAAAATGAGAATTTTAATGCAGCAACAGTTTGTATACATGTTCATATTATATAATTAATCATTTTAGTCCGAATCTTTCAATTGATATTTTGAAAGCAATTTTTTGTTTTTGAGGACCATTTCAATTCCTTTATTCGGCATACATATTTTCCTCATTTTTCCAAGAATTTAGTTTTAAGATATTTTGCTGGCATTAAACATTCATTTATGAACTGTGAATCAACAAGAACCCATAAATCTTTGATGGGATTCAAATCTGGACCCAGAAGAGAAGTTTGATGTTCAAATATCAGCCATTTTGGGAAGGGGCATATCAGCCCTTGGGGGAAGGGTTATGTGTACCTGGTACACATTCCCCTTCCCCCAAGGTTGAAGAAGCACGAACTTTCCCCTCTCCTCCCAATTTATTTTATTGTTTTCCTCTTCTTTATACCACTGCAAGCTTAACAAGAATTTTAAAAACCATAGGTCATACACAATTACTCTTTCAGAGGTCTGTTCTATGATTTCTTTTCCCCTGGTTTGAAACTGGTTCATAACCACGTCGAAACGTTTCCCCCTCAAAAATTCAATACCCATCAATCAAAATTTTTCTGGGCCCCCTTGGTGGAGAGCTTGGGGCTGTTTCGTAATGTTAAATTTAACTGGAAAGATTGAAAGAAATAAACTTATTTACCACCGGGTTGTTTACGTGATATAGATTTATCTTTATGTAATGTCGATACAGTATTGATATATCGATCGATAATATGTTTATATACCCGACATAACAATTTTCTTTTTTCTTTTTCAACTGATGGCATAGATATATTTTATTGATGAAATCGGCACGTAGCTACTTTGGCACAACAACCTGGCTTCCCTAATAGATCACACCATCTTGGACCATTAGTTCATGTTTGTAATTTCAAAACTCGAGTAGACATGACAGCCTCTCCATGATGGCATGATGGCAGCCTCTCCTCGTTCTCAGGCCAATCTCAGTTAATCACTGATTTTAGAATGCAGAGAGTGTCGTTAATGCAAGTTTTGCCTTGAATGCGACAACTTAATCTCCTAAACTCACTAAGCTCAAAAAGAAAATTAATTAAAAAAAAAATTTACAATGCACAGAAACACTACACTATGAGCTACTCTTAACTACATACATACATTCATACATATCTGGCGCTACATCCCGTGACCGAGACTAGGCCTCCTCCAAAAGCTTTCGCTAGTCGATATGATCAGCTGCAGCAGGTCTCCAGTTTCGGATTCCCAGTAGAGCCCGTGCGTCCGATGTCATTGAGTCCTCCCATCTTACATTTGGCCTGCCAACCTTTCTTCGTCCATGCATCTTTACGGACAGC